TGTGTTAAATTGTAGAGACTCACCTGCAACACGAGTTGGGAGTGAGACATGTATCAGCTGCAGCTCGTGACTCCGACATGTTTACGTTTATCAGCGTGGTTCTCCCGTGTCGTGTCGGTGATTTTCAAAGCGACATGCTTCTCATTTTTTATCTTTGTGAAGTTCTCCCACACTTTGCAGGACTTGGGTCAAACAGTTTTCGCTGCGTCGGTCATTTGTAAAATTTACTTAAATTTCCTTTAAAAACACCGCCACTGCTTTGCTCCCCCCTTGCTCTGTTCGACTTGCGCTGCAGTTTTTTTTTTTCAAACTTTATTCTGTCAGTCAGCATTGACAATGAACTGCCCGTGAACAAAACGAAACGGCTCCGCAGCGCCATGAAAGATGCATAATCGCGCGACACAATGAATCGATAACGAAATTCGTTGCCAACGCTTTTAATCATCGATTTTTATCGATTTTTATCGATTTTATCGATTCGTTGTTGCAGCCCTACTGCCAATACATTTAGCCTCATCACAACCGGGCGCTCACATAGCTGCCTAATAAAAGTCTGGGGGTGGGTCCTCAAGACTCAATGAGACTACCTGTATAAATAAAGGTTAAAAAAATCTGACCAATGAAATTACTAGGGATGCACCGATCCACTTTTTTTTTATACTTCTAATCCGATCCCGATACCTAAATCTAAATATCGGCCGATACCGATCCAGTTCCGATATCATGATCATCATTGATTTTATATGAGGCTGTAATAATCTCCTCTCAAGTACAATTTGTACAAATATATGCATGCATGTCCAAAAAGGCAACTTGAGGTAAGTTGTATTAATGTTGGATAAGTTTTAAAGTTAGAATTAAATTCTGCTAACACAAAACATGTTTCTTTTTATTCCTAGTTTTAAAGTGGATATTAAAGTGATTAAGTGATTGTTTAAAGGTTTTTTTTTTAATTTATAAGTGGCTGATATAAGATTTTTCTCCTTTCTGCACTCTTTTCATTCAATGTTGTTTTTTTTTGATGAATTTGTTTTGTTTCTTTTAAATGAATGAACAAATCAATTAAATAAAATAAAATGTTAAATGGCTTCAAACATCTGCTAAGTTCATGGCATAAACCAACAGACATGTTCCTGTTTTTAGTATTTTACATCACTTTATATTGTAGCTGTTTTTATTTCGGTTTATACATACACACACACACACATATATATATGTGTGTGTGTGTGTGTGTGTGTGTGTATATATATAATTTTCTTGTAATTTTCAAATCACATGTTTTTTTACGATTGTCTACTGTTGTACTGATATCTCCTGGAGGGTAAACTACAGTGCCTTGCGAAAGTATTCGGTCCCCTTGAACTTTTCGACCTTTTGCCACATTTCAGACGTCAAACATAAAGATATAAAATTTTATTTTTTTGTGAAGAATCAACAACAAGTGGGACACAATCGTGAAGAGGAATGACATTTTTGGGATGTGTCAAACTTTTTTAACAAATAAAAAACTGAAAAGTGGGGCGTGCAATATTATTAGGCCCCTTTACTTTCAGTGCAACAAACTCACTCCAGAAGTTCAGTGAGGATCTATGAATGATCCAATGTTGTCCCAAATGACTGATGATGATAAATACCATACAATACCACTTTATTTATAAAGCACTTAAACAGCTACAAGGCCAACCAAAGTGCTGTACAGACAGAACAACAGGTAACACACAAAGCAAAATACAAAATGAGGTAAATCAGAATATAGACATAAAAACGATGCAGATAATGACGACAAACCAGTGTGGAGCATACTGGATTAAGACACAGATCATCTGGTGTTGAAAGCTACTGAATAGTAGTGAGTTTTTAAGCGGGACTTGAAAACCGAGAGGGAGGGGGCCTGTCTGACAAGCAGAGGTAACTCTTGGTCCTGCTACAGAGAAGGCCCTGTCACCTCTGTGCTTAAGACGAGTTCCTGGAACTGTGAGGAGCAACTGGTCCGCTGACCTCAGGGAACGCGGTGGGACATACGGTTGTAGCAAATCAGAGAGATGGGGGGATAGAATCCACCTGTGTGTAATCAAGTCTCTGTATAAATGCACCTGCTCTGTGATAGTCTCAGGGTTCTGTTCAAAGCGCAGAGAGCATCATGAAGACCAAGAAACACACCAGGCAGGTCTGAAATACAGTTGTGGAGAAGTTTAAAGCCGGATTTGGATACAAAAAGATTTCCCAAGCTTTAAACATCCCAAGGAGCACTGTGCAAGCACTCATATTGAAATGGAAGGAGTATCAGACCACTGCAAATCTACCAAGACCCGGCCGTCCCTCTAAACTTTCATCTGGAACAAGGAGAAGACTGATCAGAGATGCAGCCAAGAGGCCCATGATCACTCTGGATGAACTGCAGAGATCTACAGCTGAGGTGGGAGAGTCTGTTCATAGGACAACAATCAGTCGTACACTGCACAAATCTGGCCTTTATGGAAGAGTGGCAAGAAGAAAGACATTTCTCAAAGATATCCATAAAAAGTGTTTAAAGTTTGTCACAAGCACCTGGGAGACACCAAACATGTGGAAGAAGGTGCTCTGGTCACATGAAACCAAAATCAAACTGTTTGGCCACAATGCAAAACAATATGTTTGGTGTAAAAGCAACACAGCTCATCACCCTGAACACACCATCCCCACTGTCAAACATGGTGGTGGCAGCATCATGGTTTGGGCCTGCTTTTCGTCAGCAGGGACAGGGAAGATGGTCAGAATTGATGGGAAGATGGATGGGGCCAAATACAGGAGCATTGTGGAAGAAAACCTGTTTGAGTCTGCAAGAGACCTGAGACTGGGACGGAGATTTATCTTCCAACAAGACAATGATCCAAAACATAAAGCCAAATCTACAATGGAATGGTTCACAAATAAACATATCCAGGTGTTGGAATGGCCAAGTCAAAGTCCAGACCTGAATCCAATCGAGAATCTGTGGAAAGAGCTGAAGACTGCTGTTCACAAACGCTCTCCATCCAAACTCACTGAGCTCGAGCTGTTTTGCAAAAAGAATGGGCAGAATTTCAGTGTCTCCATGTTCAAAACTGATAGAGACAAACCCCAAGAGACTTGCAGCTGGAACTGCAGCAAAAGGCGGCGCTACAAAGTATTAACGCAAGGGGCCGAATAATATAGCACGCCCCACTTTTCAGTTTTTTATTTGTTAAAAAAGTTTGACACATCCAATAAATTTCATTCCACTTCAAGATTGTGTCCCACTTGTTGTTGATTCTTCACAAATATTAAAATTTTATATCTTTTTGTTTGAAGCCTGAAATGTGGCTAAAGGTTGAAAAGTTCAAGGGGCCGAATACTTTTGCAAGGCACTGTATATCTTGGCTGCAAGTATCAAGCTGAGAAATCCTTTGTTTTCTACAAGTGATAGTGGTTGGTCATTAATTATGATGAAGTTTAGCAACTTCTCTGTAAACATTTGAGCTCCGTGGTTTCAGCGATGTCTTCTTCTTGTTCAATCCGAAGCAAGCAGCCTGATTTTGGTCAGCCGCGCTCAGTCTGTCCCTCCTCAGAGACGGACAGATTTAGCGGGGCAGATTGGACGCAGCTGGCCGGGGTGGAGTTGCCTGTTTAGGGTTCAGCGAGAGTAGCGCCATGCTGAAGCCCTGGAGCGCGAATGTCCAACGTGAAACTAACTTTACCGCGGTTTAATGTGGCGCTATGGCTCTGCAGACATTGCACGTTGCTGCGTTGCTTTGTGGTGTTTCTAGTGTAAAATACTTCCACACAGCGGACATGTTTAGATGAAAACTTTGTTAGCTGTTAGCCACAGTGCTGCTAACTCAGTCCTCACGTTGTAGCTGGCTGCAAACTGTGAAATGGATTTCCTGGATGTGAGGCGGGTCTTATTACTCTGGGCTCATGAGACACGCCGCCGTTCAGGAAATCCATTCCGCAGTTTGAAGCCAACATGCATCATGGATCGGAAATCTCGGCAGGTTGGATCGGAAAATGGATCGGTCACATTGTCACTGATATCCAATCCAAAAGTTTTTCAGATATCGGTACTGATACAAATATTGATATCGGTGCATCTCTAGAAATTACTAAACGGGTCACAGTCGAACCAATAAAACTTGGTTTCATTTGTCCACTATGGAGAGACTCACTGTGGAGGTTCTCTCCTCCCATTCCTGTGGGAGTGTTCCCCTCTTAAAATGTAACATCTTCCGTGTTCACTCCAGGCTGCAGATGACTGTGCCAAAGCTGTGATGAGGAACCTGAGCGCCCATGGAGTGAAGCTTGTGCTCCCCTCCCTGCTGGTGGCCCTGGAGGAGGAATCATGGAGGACCAAAGCAGGTAAGGTTTGGTTAAATACAGTCGTGAGAAGAACAACACCTACTCTGTTTCAGTTCTGGGGTTTTACACATCAGGGCTTAATTAAAACAGTCTGGTCTTTACCAGGTTCTAAATTTATTTAAATCAAACATCAAGTGACAAGAAGAGACAACACTTAATTAACAGTCTAGTTAGCAGCCATGACTTTTTTATTTCTCATTTTATGACGGTTTCTGTTTATTTCCTATTCATAAAACTGTTCTTTTTGACTCCCCTCTGCTTCTCCTCCAGGCTCGGTGGAGTTGTTGGGTGCCATGGCTTATTGCGCGCCCAAGCAGTTGTCGTCCTGTCTGCCCAGCATCGTCCCCAAGCTGACGGAGGTGCTGACTGACTCCCATGTTAAGGTGCAGAAGGCTGGCCAGCAGGCTCTCCGACAGATTGGCTCTGTCATTCGCAACCCTGAAATTTTGGGTAAATGTTTCCGATTCATGAAATGGACCTGTACCATAAAGGTTCTGTTCCCTGTAACCTTCTATTTGTAACAAGACTAGACTGTTAAACTCTTATAACTCTAACCCTAATATGGGTCAGAAATCGTTTGTTTCCAAACTTTCATAACTGTACCATTGTCCTTCTTCGCCCAGCCATCACGCCCATTCTGTTGGACGCACTCACTGATCCATCCAGGAAAACCCAGATGTGCCTGCAGACCCTGCTGGACACCAAGTTTGTGCACTTTATCGATGCACCCTCCCTGGCCCTCATCATGCCCATCGTCCAGAGAGCCTTTCAGGATCGCTCCACGGACACCCGAAAGATGGCCGCGCAGATTATCGGGAACATGTACTCGCTCACCGACCAGAAGGTAGACTTTGTACAAAAATACATTTATTCACTCAAAGAACTTGCATAATTTAAAAAAAAAAAATGTTTCAACTTTTTTTTTCAACCAGGATTTGTCTCCCTATCTGCCAAGCGTTATTCCTGGACTGAAGGCTTCCCTGTTGGACCCAGTGCCTGAGGTGTGTTTAGTGAAGATCATCAGCCATGATAGTCTCCTGTCTGTGTGTGAAACAAAAGCTGCACTGAATCCTCTCCTGTCCAGGTCCGTACGGTCTCAGCCAAAGCCTTGGGCGCCATGGTGAAGGGGATGGGTGAGTCTTGCTTTGATGACCTGTTGCCGTGGCTCATGGAGACACTGGCATCTGAGCAGAGCTCCGTGGACCGATCCGGAGCTGCGCAAGGTCAGTTCTCCTGCAGGCCGTTCATTGTTTGGGATGACTGAGTGGCTGAGTCGAGGACTGATTGTGATGGTCCTCTCAGGTCTGGCTGAGGTGATGGCTGGACTTGGAGTGGAGAAACTGGACAAACTGATGCCAGACGTCGTGCAGACTGCCTGCAAGGTGGACATTGCATCCCACGTCAGAGACGGCTACATCATGATGTTTATCTACCTGCCACTCACCTTTGGAGATAAATTTACCCCATACGTGGGACCCATTATCCCCTGCATTCTCAAGGTGCTGGTGACTTTGTTTATTCTGCAATGTAAATTTGACTGTATGAGTTTGATCCTGTGTATTTGTTCCTTATCAGATGTGTGATGAGAGGTTTTACGCTAAACAAATATATGTCTTAACCAGACTTTTAAAAATTTGTTTCCTCCTGTGTGCTGGTGTGATGTCATGTTACTGCAGCTCCTAACCTTTCCTGCTTGACTCTTCAGGCACTAGCTGATGAGAACGAGTATGTGAGAGACACAGCACTGCGAGCTGGCCAGCGAATCATCAGCATGTATGCTGAGACTGCCATCGCTCTGCTGCTGCCAGAGCTGGAGCAAGGCCTGTTTGATGACCTGTGGAGGATCAGGTTAGTGATGTGTTGGTCATTAAATGACTCCTCATATTGAGTAACAGAGGAAATGCCTTACATGTCTCTGTTGGTTTATAGGTTCAGCTCTGTACAGCTGCTGGGAGACCTGCTGTTCCATATCTCAGGAGTAACAGGAAAGATGACCACAGAGACGGCCTCAGAAGATGACAACTTTGGAACCGCCGCATCCAATAAAGTATGAACTTTTTAGCAAATCCAGTACAGATTTATCCTGTTAATAAACATGGTCATGTCCTCACATACGTAGCTGTAGGCTATAGGACTATTTTATATGTTGAAGGCTTAACGTGTTCAAAATGTACCAAAGCAGGGATTGGAGGGTCGTCATTAGGACACATTATGTTGTAGCGAACAATAATTTGTACTCTGGAAAACAGACTGTCAGAGGATTGGACATTACCATATTTTCCGCCGTACACGTCGCTCCGCCCTATAAGTCACATCAGTCCAAATATGTCTAATAAAGTGGAAAAAAACATAAATACGTGGCTTCGCCGTATATGTCACATCTATTATGCGTCATCACTGACGTGTAGCGTTTGTTACGTTTCACCACTGACAACCCAGAAATGTGGGCTGGTGTGCCAAAAATTTATTGGCTGCCAAATGGCGGCTGCGGGGGCGTGCACGGGAGGACTTTAACAAGAATTTAACCAGCTTAACACTTAAAAACAATTATTTATTTGCTCGAAATTAAAGCAATGGTGTGTCTCAGTTTAACTTTTGCTTAATAAATTCACTTTGATGATCAAATCAGCTGCATTTTAAAACCCAACACGGGGAAGTAGGAACGCGCAGAAGGACAAGTCGCTGCTCATTTCTTCGAAATTTAACAAGATAGGCACCTAAAACAATTATTTGTTTGATTGACTTTATAGTGAAGGTGTGTTTCAGTTGAACTTTTACTTAATAAAAGGACTTTAACGGTCACATCAGCTGTATTTCAAAAGTATTTGTTGCCTCGGTGCTCTGGGAGCACGCAGACAGGGAGGAAAAAAGGACGGAGGAACGCTGCACAATTCTTTGAAATTTAACAAGATAAACACCTAAAACAATTATTTGTTTGCTCGAAATTATAGCAAAGGTGTGTCTCAGTTGAACTTTTACTTAATAAATGCACTTCATTGGTCAAATTAGCTACATTTCGCTGGGGTGGCGCAGCGAAATGCAGCTGAATTGATGGTTGCGCCAAGCGAGCTGGACGAAGGTGACAGTCTGACAAGCCGATTGTGTCATTAATAGCCACTTTTCCCTATTACATGACACAACGGCATGCTATACTGCTCTGTTGCCATCTAGCAGCTGAAAAATGGTAGTGTTCAATATTTCAGTCAGAATGAATGAAAAGTCATACCTCAGTCAAAAATTGGTTTATAAATTTGGGGAAAAAAATCCATAAATACGTCGCTTCAGCCTATAAGTCGCAGGCATACTAATTATGCAAAAAAACTGACTTATACAGCAAAAAATATGGTAGCTACTGCTAGCTCAAGTTAGCTGAAGGGAGTAGCTAGTGTTAGCTCATGTTAGCTGAAGTAAGTAGCTAATGTTAGCTCATGTTAGCTGAAGTAAGTAGCTACTGCTAGCTCAAGTTAGCTGAAGGGAGTAGCTAATGTTAGCTCAAGTTAGCTGAAGTGATTAGCTAGCGTAAGCTCTCACGTCAGCAAACCCGCAGCAGCAGAAATGTGTTGACTTAGGAACTATGTATGCTGAAAATTCTGCAGTATAAAGAAAACTGCTTCAGTTTTTGGTGATGCTTAACATAGTTGTAGTCCCAGTCAAACAGAAAGTTGTCAAGTGAAACTTCTTCTGAAAGAAAAGAAAAATCCTGTAAAACAAACCAGTATGAACAAAACTCTGTCCTCCTCCCCATCAATAAATCTCAAAGGATAATAAAACAATACAATACAAACACTATATTTTATGTACCGGTACTTTGACAAACTATATTTTTACGTTTTATATTTGAAGCACAAGTTGACAAAATTTGCAAAAGTTGATTACCGGTAAAATCTGTTCAGAAATGGTTGTTGGCCTAAATGCTTTGAACATTATACAGTTCATTTTATATACACTCTATCTTTGTTTGGGTCGGGCTATGTTTTTACAAAAGCAAATGGTTTGGAAAGCTGGAAAGAAACTGTCCAGATGACCTGACTGAACATTGTTGGATTTTATACCTGGATTATTGAGCATGGACTTTGGTGGTTTGGAAAGCGTTCCACGTTGTTCAGGTGTGATTTCTATCCTTCCAGGCTATCATCTATGCTCTGGGAGCCGAGCGGCGTAACCGTGTGCTCTCGGGACTCTACATGGGCCGCTCCGACACCCAGCTGGTTGTTCGTCAGGCTTCCCTTCATGTGTGGAAGATTGTTGTATCCAACACCCCCCGGACGCTGAGGGAGATCCTCCCAACCCTCTTCAGTCTCCTGCTGGGCTTCCTGGCTTCTACCTGCCCTGACAAGAGAACGGTATCGTTCAGTTTTCATTTTAGTTTTTATCAAAGCACTCTGTTTTTATTATTTCTGCTTTGTGACGTCCTCTGGTGTGAAAGGTGCCACAAAAAGTCCTTTGCTCTGTTGGCATGGTTTCAGATTGCTGCTCGGACGCTGGGCGACCTCGTGAGGAAGCTAGGAGAGAAGATCCTCCCTGAGATCATTCCCATCCTGGAGGAAGGGCTTCGCTCCGATAAGAGTGATGAGAGGCAGGGTGTCTGCATCGGTCTCAGTGAGATCATGAAGTCCACCAGCAGAGATGCAGTGAGTCATAAATATGTTTAGGTTGTGTTTCCACCAACAGGAGATGAAAGCGTTTTTTCTGAAACATTTTAAAACTTCCCTCAGGTAATGCAGCAGAAGGCTGTGGTTAAATAAAGACTGTGTATTGTAGGTGCTGGTCTTCTCTGAGTCACTAGTCCCCACAGTGAGGAAGGCTCTCTGTGACCCTCTGGAGGAGGTCCGAGAGGCTGCAGCCAAAACCTTCGAGCAGCTCCACGCGACCATCGGCCACCAGGCGCTGGACGACATCCTGCCTACTCTACTCAAGCAGCTGGTGAGAGAAGGGGAACACACATCTGGAGTCCAAAAATGATCTGGAAACAGTTTTTAACCTCTAACATACTGAATGTGTCTTCCCCAGGATGACGAGGAAACGGCTGAGTTTGCTTTAGACGGTCTGAAGCAAGTCATGGCAGTGAAGAGTCGTTCTGTGCTGCCATATTTGGTTCCAAAGGTAAACCATCACCAACTGTTTCAGCTGGAAGTGTTTTATGTCTGTGATTAAAGCAAACCTCCTGTGTGGTTCCAGCTGACTGCTCCTCCTGTGAACACTCGAGTGTTGGCCTTCCTGTCTGCTGTGGCTGGAGATGCTCTGACCCGCCATCTTGGTGTCATTCTTCCCGCTCTGCTCTCCTCTCTTAAAGGAAAGCTGGGAACAGAACAAGAAGTACAGGTAAATCCAGCCTGTTTGTCTTGCTGCTGTGTTACAGTGTTCATTCTCTCCTTCTTATGTTTATTTGAGAATAATTGAGAGAGTTTGGTGATGTCAGGGGCCGAGATGGGGTAGAAGTAGGGCAGCTGACTTGGAACCAGAAAGTCTTGGTTCGACTCCCGGAATGGCTGGGAGTCAGTGGCTCCCTGGGGCGCTCACATAGCTGCCCACTGCTCCACCTGGTGTATCTCAGGTGCGATGGGTTCAATGCAGAGAACCAAATTCATCATTGTATGGGAACATACAATGATGACAACACATAGCACTTATACTTGTGTGGGAGTTTATAGCCATGACCAAGTCAATTTAAGAGCAATGTTTCATTGGCTCAATAAAGATGATCCGAACATGAGAGTTACAAAAGACTAACTTTGGATCTAGCCATGCAGCTATCCATCTCTCAGTTCCTTGAAGAAGAGGAATGCTCCCTGTTGGATTTTAAATTTAAATTGTTGTTCCCCGTCACGGATTGAAGAGGAGGAATTGGAAATACTGTTTGTCCATCAGTTTGTACATGTGATGAGCATGATAACTTGGGGGTTAAAGAGAGGTACCAACTTCCAGTTAGGTATGTGGCTACATCTCCAGGTGAAAGAAAGGTTCCTTTAGAAAACTGGGTTGCTGCATCAAAATTCTAGTTGGTCACCACCATTTTTTAAATTTTAATTTTTTCCTCACTCGCTTTCGTGCAAGACGGACACCTTTCTTCCCTCTCCCGTCCTCCTCCTGCTTTTTTGCTCACTGTCTTGTGTATCGGTGCTCCTATTTACACATCTTCTGAAACGTAAACTACTGTCATAGATCTGGTCAGCTGGACTTTCAGTGCAATCGATGAAATTTTTTCAACAAAGCGATAGGGTCCTGGAGAACCCTCATGCCCCGCTGAGATGCATGCGGCAGGATACGTCATGGATCTGATGTGCCTTTCCTTATTGGAGGACGCCATATTGGAATCATGATAGCAGGGTTTCTGCTTTTTGGCACTGGCGGATACCTACAGTATGTTATTGGCCATTAAAGAAGATGGCGGCAGCAGTTTCGGCTATGGCAAAGCTGCCGAGCCTGTGTGAAGGTTTGGTTCATGCTTCTAGCACTCAAAATCAGCTGATTTATGAGCTCAACCATAAGATGGAAGCCATTTGTGAGAATCACAGACCACTTGCAGCTTCTGGGACTCGCCAGCATGTAGGAGACGACCTTGGAGGGAGCTAATAAGCACGGACCAGTGGAATGCCCACATCTCTGGCCATTTTGGATCGAAAGTACAAGCAGAACTCAAGGCTGACGAGAAATAACAGTCTGTCTGAAAAAATCAACAACTGTGGCTTATCTGAATCTGACCCCCCCCCGTTTGGCCTCGAAGCAGGCCAACATCAAATTTCTCTTGGGATATGTGTAAACTAAGAAAACTCTGTTTATCGCAAACACCCCCCCCCCCCCCCCCCAATGAAAATTTCTGTGAATGCTTATCAGAGCTGTACCGACTGACACCAACATCTTATCAGGACTATGGTGCTATCTGGAAGTGCTTCATGGACAAATCTTGTCGTCAAATGCATACAGTATGTAATGTGTCTGTAAATGTGCCTGCTGGTAGAGTTTTGATGTCTTAAATCATGTCCTGATAAGGACAAGGTGTGAAGAGATTTTTTTTTGTAATTCATTCATTCATTCATTCAACCTTTATTTATACACTATCCTCTCCTCATGGCCTTTTCCCCATTTCTATCTAAAAGAATAAGGGGCCGCGCTCTTAGGAACAGCAGCAATGTGCACTCCGCCCGTCTTTCGGACAACTATACAAACAATCTCACTGTACTTCGGTACAATGATAATAAAGTTTATTCTGATTCTGATTTAAATGTAAATCAACCACCCCTATCATTTGAGGAATCTACGTGTTTTAGTTTTTATATTGCTTAAAAGTATAGTTTCCTTAAATGATTGAGGTAGCCAAGGCCACCATTGGCCACCCCATGGCTCCTCCACTAAACCTGGTGGTGCATAAAACTGTTCCCTCCACTTGCCAGGATCCATCGCTCTGCGCTGTCTCAGACAAGAAAAAAAAAATCTGTTCTCCTCCACAGTAAAGATACATAAACACTTGAATATCTTGCACCAAAAACATTACGGTTTACTTTCATTTCCTGTTTAACTCCTGTCCAGAAAAACACTTAAACTACATTCACCATTCAAATCCCTCAGAGATGGGAACGTCAGCGTACCGCTTATTTCTTCTGTTGGACCCTAGATCAGAACATAATCTCACAAATGAACCTCATGTTGTGGTAAAGAACAGCTGTAATTAGTCATTATTAAAACAGGAAATTGTTTTAATTTTCTATGTGTCAAAGGTGTCTGTTCTGATTTTTTTATGTTCATTCTATTGTACATATACAGGTAATAGTTGTACTTGAGTCCCAAAATGGTGAAAAATTGTTTGAACAACTGCTAATTTGAGCCTGAAATTTTAAAATGGTAAATGTGCAGGAACATTGATTTCCACAATGAAATTCTCCTACATGTATTATTTAGGAGCATTAAATCTGATTGTTCTTATCGTAAATTTAGTTTATTCTTGTTCCTTCAAGGCACATTTTTTCTATGTTGTCCTCTATAAATACGTCTGTTTGGTTCGGCTCAGGAGTTGTTCAGCTGTCAGACCGTGATCCTCTCCGTGGACGATGAAGTAGGTCAGAGGATCATCATAGAAGACCTGCTGGAGGCGACCCGAGGAGCCGACTCAGGCCTCAGACAGGCAGCCGTCACCATCCTGAATGCTTACTTTGCTCGCACTCGCCTGGATTACAGCGCTCACACTCGCAGCCTACTGTCGGGCCTCATCCGCCTCCTGAACGACTCCAACCCTGAGGTCCTGTCGCAGAGCTGGGATACCATCAACTCCATCACTAAGGTGTGCTCATGGGAAAGTCTGGGAATCTACACAGGATAGTCAAGTACATTGGTAATGTTTTAAGAGTGAAAATAAGTATTTTTGTCTTTTTTGTCTATAGAAACTGGATGCAAGCAGCCAGCTGGCTCTAATAGATGACTTGCACAGAGACATCAGATCAGTAATGGCAGATGTGAAGGGTCAACATCTGCCTGGCTTCTGTCTGCCCAAGAAAGTAAGTACAGAACTACTACACTCACCAGTTGTCTTCACTTCTGCTGTGAACAGAAAAGTTTATGTGTAAGGACATGCTAAAAAGTGCATCTGTCCATTGTTAGGTACAAATAAGTTGTGGAGCGCTTTAGTAATACAAACTAAGACAAAATATAAATGCATAATGTGGAAAACTGAGTACTGGTACACTTTATTTATTTATTTAGAGCACTTTATTTAATAATACAAACTAAGACAAAATGTAAATGCATAATGTGGAAAACTAAGTATAGTACGCAGTCCCTCACCTATCACAGGGGTCCAGACACCCCCGTGATAGGTGCAAATCTGTGAAGTAGGGACGTTATATTTATTTTAGTATTTATATTAATTTTAAGGCTTTATGAACCCTTCCCACACTCTTGCAATGTTCTAAACTCTTAAACCTACATAATTTTAACAACATATTTATATGTATCAAAGTTCATGCTCAATAATCCAGGTAGAAAATCCAACAAAGTTCAGTCGGGTCCTCTGGATGGTTTCTGTTTTTGTTGAGATGTTTTGTCCTTCATCCAAAGAACTTCATCAGTCAGAGGAGCCACAACAAACTTGAGTCCCACAATCTCTTTTTTACCTGGATTACTGAGCATGAACTTTGATGTTTTGAATCACTTTGGCTATGGCTGCCTCAGAGGAGTTAACAGAGGAGAGGGTGGACTCCAGAAACCATCTTATCACCATCAAACTGGTTGGCCCACTATGGGAGTGTGCTGCTCGTGGGACTCGGTTTGTTTGTGACTCCTCGGACTGATGAAGTCCTTTGGATGAACGACGAAACATTTCAACACAAAGAAACTGTCCAGAGGGCCTGACTTAACTTTGTTGGATACTTTTATGTACTGTACAGTACTGTTAAATTTTACATGGGTACTCACCGGTGAAGATGCAACTTGAAGGATGAGTTCAGCTTCAGGATTATTTGAGACTTTCCTGCCAGTTCTGTGAGTTTGATAGATTGTTACTTCTGACTTTGCTTTGCAAAACTATTTTTATCACATCGGTTTCTTCGTTAGTGTTTGCTAGCTCCATTGCTGTTCTTTGAATTTCGGCAGAAAGCAGAGGCCGGAACCACTGTTGACTTCTGGGCCGTGTAGTTCTTTTGACTTGAGTTACAGTGTAGGCTTATTGAAATAAAACTACAAAATGGCAGCGCCTGTCTGAGTATTTTTGTTTTTTGTCCTATTGGTTGGTTTCCACTCCCGTTGACTTTTTATCCCGTACTGTCCCAATCACATGACGTGAGCAATATTAAAGTGACTCCTTGGGTTCGCTGCCTGAAACCTTAGAATGCGCAGAACGTTTGGGTTGCATCATAGGACTTGAAATAAATTCAGTCTCTTATGAAAATTTCACAAAAGAGCACATCGAAAGAGAGCAGACAGACTGATGCTACAGTTACTGAGCCAATCAGCGCCTGGGATACAGAGCACAGTGCTCTGGCTGGTCGCCTTCCATCAATCAGCCAATCATGTGTCATGTGCAATCTTACGTTGAAAACCCGCGAAACAGCGAGTCCACGAAAGTCGAACCGCAAAGTATTGAGGGACTACTGTATACCGGTTTTTATTAATTAGAATAAAGAGATTTAATAGCAGCCAGTTGCTGCAGATCAAATGCAGTTTGAAGGTTGTTGACAACATCGTAGATATTTGTCGGTCCTCCCAGGAGTACATGTCCCTGCAAGTTGAGCCCAAGGTCGAATGTGCAAAAAATAAGACAGAAAAAATATAACAAGATGGACAAGGTTAATGTTTATAGCATGACTCTTGGGCTGCCTTCACACTGCAGGCATAAGCGGCATGAATCAGATTTTTTTTTTTTTTTGCCCTATGCGTCCCATATCTGATTTTTCCTGACAGTCTGAACGGGACAGATCTTTAGGTTACCCAGGTCACCCTGGTGATCGGCTGGTGGTCACGACGCCTGAGTCACCTTCGCTTCAAGTAGTTTATGCTACAACGCAGCCTTCTTCTAAATAGTGTAGTCCCAGCAAGAAGAGTTTTCTGATGAGACTTGTCACTCATGCTGCTCTGAGAACTGGGGTTAGTTAAAGTTCTCCTTCATAGCATTTATTTCAACGTCTCACTGTGGGATATGGAGACTCCTGTATTTCCAGACAGTTTATTGGCCACCATCAGTTAAAGGTGCTCGCCCTCTTCCATCAGAGTTTAACACAGCAGAGGCCACATGGAGTCGTCCAGCTGGAAAATGGAGCAAAAGTGAGTGGTGAGGACCAACTCGCTGCTGCACATATGCCCTGAATAGAGACCTCTTTAAAAAGCATCCAGGGTGCAGCCAGACCACGGGCTGAGTGGCCTGGCTGCACCTTCAGGTCCACAGGTGCATGAAGCTCGGCAGTTCTCCTACCATCCAGTGGGAGACCTGCTGCTTTGTGCTGGCTCATGTGAGGTTTTCAACAAAAGCTGATGGCCCAGTCCAAGTAGGCATGTTCTCTTTATGTCTATAAAATCTTGGGGCTTTTGTCTTAATATTTATTTACTCCTTCTTTGTTTGCACAGGGTGTGACGTGTATCTTATCTGTGCTGAGAGAAGGGGTCCTCACGGGCAGCCCTGAGCAGAAAGAAGAAGCAGCCAAAGCGTTGGGAGGAGTCATCAGACTGACCTCTTCTGAGGCCCTACGACCTTCAGTCGTCAACATCACTGGACCTCTGATTCGAATCCTGGGAGACCGCTTTGCCTGGACGGTGAAGACCGCTCTGTTGGAGACCTTGACCTTGCTGCTGGCAAAGGTTCATACCTTCAAAACCCTCATCAAACCATCGCTGATGTGACGTCAGACGTCTAACTCGGTGGCTGTTTCTCCGTCAGGTGGGCATTGCCCTGAAGCCCTTCCTCCCTCAGCTTCAGACCACCTTCCTGAAGGCCCTGCAGGACTCCAGCCGTGGGGTGAGGCTGAGAGCCGCCGAGGCTCTGGGTCAACTGGTTTCCATCCACACCAAAGTCGATCCGCTTTTCACTGAGCAGCTTTCTGCGATCCGCAATGCTGAGGACTCTGGAGTCAGGTGAGCACCCACACTGATAGTTATTACTTAAGTTATTACTAATTCTATGTGTTGACTAATCACAAACAGCTGGGGAATTTGAATTTCCTGTGAAAACGTAGTGTGCATGCTTATTACTGAAAATCTTTTGCTGAAAGCTTCCGAAGAAGTTTAAACCTGTCTGAAAAGGTTTCATTGCTAAACTTTTAACAATACATTTTAGAAAACGTGATATTGGACAGAAAAAAAAGAAACTGAAAAGGATTTAAAAAAGCTAAAATTACCTGAAAGGAGCATAAAAATGTCAAAATATTAGAAAGAAGCCCAAAATGCAAGCAACAAAAAATGGCAGAAAAAAGGCTAAAATTAGCTGAAAATACCTAAGAAGTAATAGAAAAGGCATAAAAAGCTGAAATCAGCTGAAAGAAAATGGAAAAAGCTCAAATTAGCAGAAAAAGTACTGAAAATAGCTGAAGTGAGCAGAAAAAAACAAAAAGGAGCTGAAGGAGGCTGAAATTAGCAGAAAGAAGCTGAAGCAGAACAAAATCTGAAATAAGCAGAAAAAGATTTTAAACAGATCAAAAGGTTTGAAGTGAAGAGCTCCATTCATTTTCAATGAGGAAAACATGGCAGAAAAAACTAAATATTTCAAAAAGCAAACGTCAAAGCATGAACGTCCTGAATGAGCTGAACATTTTATTACATGAATAGTTGAAATTTCACAAAAATTTAAGAACAAGTTATATGTTGGAAAAATGAACCAAAGAAAAACTGATCTCAATAGTGTTCATGATTTTTAAACATTCACACAAGTGATTGGCACTTTGACACAACATCTTTAAATAAAAATATTGTTTGTTGCATCATCGTCCACCAGAAGATACGAACGTTTGAGCTCTGTAACGTCAAACAACATTTTTTACCACAGAAAGGCAAAGGCAAGTGTTGTTGTTGTTGTTGTTGTTGTTGTTGTTGTTGTTGTTGCTGTTGTTGCTGTTGTTGTGAATGTGAGAGTGTTTTTATGTGTGTGTCTGTTAACAAGTGATCTCATGAGCTCCGGGACAAATTTTAACTAACCCTACAGAAAGTCATCACTGGATGTACAACTGGTTAACGCTTCGGAGTCAACCCAGTTCGAGATGGGCGCCCCCACCATTTATTAGTCAACACAAAACTGTCTGTAATTCATTCAGTTTAAATAAGCAGAGCTATAATGAGTGACAGATGATGTGCATTCCTTTAACAGAGGCTAGGCCTTTATTACGTCAGTGTCAATTTATTCCTATAGCACATACAAACAACACAAGCTGACCAAAGTGCTTTACAGTTTAGTCAAATTAAAATGAAACCAAACCAAAAAAAGAACAAGAAAATGCATGTTGTGTCACCCAGGAAACACACTAAAAGTTAATAATCAAATCCAGCAACAATCTCTGGTTCTCAGACTGTGCCTGGGTCAAACACCAGGGAAAACACATGAGTCTTGAGCAAAGGGTTAAAGTCTCGGCAGTCTGAGCGGTCTTTAAAAGATCAGGTGAACTGGTCCACAGTTCAGGAGCAGCAGCTGAAAAAAGCCTGATCACCTCTGGACTTCAGTTTGGAGCTGGAGACATCTAAGATGAACTAGACTAGGTTAGACCAGAGTGCTCTTACTGCAGTGTAGATGTTAATAAGATCACATGAAGAAGACAGGGCCAGACCTTTTAAGACTTAAAAAACAAACAATAAAATGTTAAAATCAACCCTGAAGCAGACAGGAAGTCAGTGGAGAGAAGCCAGGACTGAGGTTATGTGTTGGTGTTTTCTAGTTGCTGCTGGTTCTGGACGGTTTGTAAATGATGCAGAGATGATTGATCTAAACCAACATACAGAGCATTACAATACAAATAAAACATTCTTGTTAAAGCTGCAACAGTCTTGGAGAGTTTAACTTCCTGTTTACCCAGAGCTTTAGATATATTTCACTTGATGCTTAGGACTCACTCATTCTGAGTTTTTTCTCAGTTATAGTAGACCTCAGAGCAATCTGCTGGCTGCCATAAATCATGTCACTAATTGAATTTTTACGTATATGAATGTTTCTGTTCAATAAGTCTTAGTTGGAAGAAACTGGATTTCACAACTGCATTTATTTGTTTGTCTAATTTAAAGCACCGTCAAAAATAACTCCCAGATTCCTGACAGTGGCTGTATGAAGCCAGGAGTGTCAGGAGCAGGACGTTGACCAAAACTGATGACTTCAGTCTTATTGAAATGAAATTGACATGAAAGGTTTAGCTCTCAGTTTGCAGGATTCATTTCTGTTTGTTCTGATCCGTTTGATTTTCTTGAACGCAGGGAGACCATGCTTCAGGCCTTAAGATTCGTCATCCAGGGGGCCGGATCAAAAGTGGACCCAGCCATCCGTAAAAACATCACCGCCACATTACTCGGCATGCTGGGTCACGATGAGGTATGACAACAGAAGCAGGACTCTCGGAGCATCAAAACGGCTGTAAAGGTTACATTTGTGGCAGCTCAGCATCGATTCTCCACTGATTCTGCAGTCGTACTGAAAACTTAAACTTAAGTGTGGCTGTTAAAACTTCTAAACTGGAGCTTCACAGAGGAATGCTCCGAGGAGCCCGTATCTGTGATCTCAAGCAGAAAAACGGAAGTCAGTCAGAGGATGTGGTTTTCTAAAAAGGTGGTTTTGAGCTGTCGTGACACTTTGTGTATAATCTACACAGCATTTATATTTGTGTGTGTGCGTGCACTTGCAGGATGCTACCCGTATGGCCTCAGCGGGCTGCGTTGGTGAGCTGTGTGCCTTCCAGTCAGAGGAAGAGCTGAAGAGTCTCCTACTTCAGCATGTCTTGGGTTTGTATTGTTTCCAAAGCAGTTATCCACATGTCTCGTTCATGAAGTGTCTTCTAATTACTCTAAGCACAAACATATTTTATCTACACTTGTTACGATTCGCATAATGCCCGACTGTTTCAGTCGCGGTGAGAGCCTGAGCTAACATTTGCCTCCTCACAGCGGACGTGTCGGGTGTGGACTGGATGGTGCGTCATGGCCGCAGCCTGGCCTTGGCCGTAGCTGTTAAGTCTGCCCCCGAGAAGCTGTGTGGGAAGGATTACTACGAGACCGTGACAGAGACCGTTTTGGCCAACGCCACTGCTGACAGGGTGAGCACACATACCAGAAACACAGCTAACCCATAAAGACTGACATGTTGGAAGATGGGACTTCCTGGAGTTTGGGAACATACAGATCACAACAACCATCCAGAAAAACCAGAGCTCCGTTTCTCTGCCATTCTCTTTGATTGTTTTTCTATTTTTGTTGTCCTCATCAAGATTCCTATTGCTACCAGTGGGATCCGAGCCATGGGATACCTGATGAGGCATCACCTCCGAACAGAGGGAAGCAGTAATGTTTTACAGCGCATCGTCACACAGTTTGTCAAGGTAAGACGTAAAACCTTTGCATCGGCCGGATAATCACTTTCACTTCCCTTTTCTTTATTTAGACAGGTGTGTAAAAAGTGAGAAGTGGGTTCCAACTAAAATTATTTTATTTGGGTCAAGTGTAGGCGAATGATTCGGTATGAATTGGTTATTTTGGTTTGTTTTGAATAGTGAAGTCAGCAGAGTTTATAATTGACAAATTATTTAGTGTTCAATAATTATACTATTAAAGTAGTCCCTCGTTTATCATGGGGTATCCGTACCCTGAAGCCCCACGATAAGTGAAAAACCACAAAGTAGGAATAGTAGTACAAGTAGTAAATAGT